TCATCATGGAAAGAGCCACATTTTAACACCTGTTACACTTGTTTGCCCCACCCAGAGTTTTCCATTTAACAGAAACCATCTGAGTTAGCCTGGGTTCTCTGGGAGAGCAAAACCAGTGAGGCTTCTATTTGTAGAAGTAGGTCAGTCCATTCTGGGTTCAAGTCTGTGGGTCAGATGTTACGCAGGAGGCTTCTCCTGACTCATGTAGCCTTAGGGGCTGATGAATTCAGGATAAGCCACAAGAACACCCAAGCTGGGTCGGGGATGAATCCACGGTCATCAGGTTAGGTGGCAGGCTGTCGATGGCTCCCAGAATGGGCAGGCAATATGGCAAGCCATGGATTGGCTCAAGTCCAAAGAACAGAAGGCGGATGAATCTGGCACGGGATAGAGACTCTGCAGAAAGCAAGCAAGCTTCTCATAAAGGGGTAAGCCCCTGCCCCCCACCCCCAGGCCTCCTTTCAACTACATCCCATCTGTCACCTCAGTAAGGGGGTGACACTCCGGGGATGTCTAGGTCTCAACTGCCAAACCACTGAGAGCCCTGGCCCAACCAAGTTGATCCAAATCCCACTCTCACCCTTTCTAAGGGTTGAGATGCTTTGGGCGGCAAGTAGCAGAAAGCCTAGCTAACAAGAGCTTCCACAAGAGACAGGGGTCCTGGGCACTCTTCTGCCTTGGGTCTCTGGCATCTGGAGACATCTCTGGACCTTGTCGAAGAACGTTTTGAAAGGCATAAAATAAAGTACCTTTGATTATCAACTAGTTATATTGGAAAACCGTTATCTGCCTGTGTTAGGCTGGGCCCTCTGAGAAACACATGCCAAGACAGAAGTAAACATGCAGGCATTTTATAGGGAGGCAGCGAGGAGGCAGCAGGGTGAGGCTGGCAGAGCTGCCACCTTAAAGCAAATCGGAGCTCACAGGGAAGAGATGGAAAGGGGTGGCAAGGAACATCTCGAACCGCTCTGCAATCTAGGTGAAGTTCAGCAGAGCCAGGGAGGCTTCAGAAGAGTCCTTCAAAACCTTGCCATGCCCTTCACTGGCTGGAAGCAGTGCATGCTGGTAAACCCAACCTTGGATTTCAGGGCAAACCCAACCCTAGCCACTGAAGGCTGGTATGCCCAACCTTGGATTTCAGAGCAAAGCAACTGGGCTCTCAGCCATTTATGTTCCTGTGGACAGAGATGGTCTACACCAGGCAAACAGCACTGCCTCAGGCAAGACTGCTAAAAAAGAACTGTCTAAAGTTCTTAAAAAAAAAAAAAAAAAAAAAAAGCCAAAATAGCGCTCGGATAATTAAGGTATGCCTGACCCAAGCCGTGGTCTTCTATGCACGGGCATGCAGAAACTGGACCCTGCAAAAGGGAGACAGAAGAATGGAGGTCTTCACATTTTGGTGTTGGCCGAGAACATTGACTGTCTGCAACCAGAGAGTTTAGATGCAAAGATGGCCAGACTGCTGATCGCCTACTTTGGACACGTCATCAGAAGGTGTCAATTGCTAGGAAAGGACACCCTGGTTCATAAGGTAGAGGGTCAGCAGAGAGAGAGAGAGAAACATCCAAAGAGATGGACTGACCCAAGAGGCACACGAGGGATCCAAGCACAGCAGGAACTGTGAGGATGGCCTGGGGTCCGGCAACTCGTTCTACCTGTAGACGGGCAAGGTCGCCAGGAGCTGGAGCCAAGCGGGCAACTAGCAACTCACAATGGGGTGGTGGGCAAGGTGCCATCTCATGGGCACCACAGAAAACAATGTAAAGTGTGTTGGGCTGTAGCAATACGGAGGCTTCTCACCAGCTAATACAGAGTAACTGCAGCTCCCACTCCACCCCGCCCCCATGACTGGGAGCCCATTGTGCAGGGGTCGGCCTGTACAGTCTTACCTGACAGATCTGTCCACTGTTCCAAGGCCTCCCATGAACCAGAGAGCTGGAGAAAAGACAACGCAGGGGGACCCACTGTGTGGCTGCAGGCCATTCAAGGGCTGTTCTGGGCGACAGGAATCAGATTTGTTCTAGGAGGTTCTAGGAGGCAGAGCTGGCAAAGATTAGCTCAACCCAGGCGAGGCTGTGCAAGCTCCGTGGGGATCACTTTTCTAGCACAATGCCTAGCATAGCATAAACTCAGTGACGTTGAGCCAATGTCAACTCAGAGACCCTATAGGACAGGGTAGAACTGTCCCCGGTGAGTTTCCAAGACTGGAGCTCTTTATCTTTCTCCCTTGGAGCCGCTGGGGGTTTCCAGCTGCTGACCTTGCAGCCCAAAGAGTAGCCATGATCCTGCCAAGGCTCCTCAGCAGTGCAGCATGGGCACCTACTATGTACCTTTTGGAGGGCCACTTGACAGAGCTCTCCTGCACTGAAAAAGGCTGCCGTGGAGTAGGAGGCAGCGAGCTCCTTGGCACTGTGACCATGCAAAGCCTGGCGGGTGACCCCGAGTCTGGGATGTTTGTAGGAGTCAGCCATGGCTTTGGTGAGGACCACACTTGTAGGACATGAAAGAGCCACCCAGCTCCAAGATCCTGTGTGAAGCTATGAATCATCCATGCTGGGGTTTAGCAAAGCCAGGCTGATCTCAGTATTAGCTGAAGCCAAACCTAATTAGGAAGGTAAATTGATTTCCAAAAAAAGCATGGAGTGATAGGGTCCCAGGTCTGTTAAGAATGGTTTTTTAATTGTCTTCTCTTTTGTATTATTCATACGATCACATGTCTTTGTGAGCTAAGTCAGTCTCTAATTTCCTTCCTTCTGTCTTCTTCTCTGCCCAGGACGATAAGCACCTTCTCTATTAGAGGACCTTTCCTGGGCATGGGGTGACAACTAGGTCTTGGGCTACAGCCCAGACTTTTCACGGTCTAGTAAAAACCAGTCCTAACTCAGCCTTGAGCAGGTGGTGATGGGAACTCAGAGGAGGGACCTCCAGCCCCTTCCTCAACACTGGGGAGGATTCTCAGGAGACCACCCCAGGGAAGGTAGGGTCCTGCAGGGTAAGGATGAGGTTACTTGGCTAAAGGTGGAGAGTAGAAGGATCAAAAACCATCAGGCGCATACTCGTGCAAGGATGCACAACAAATAGCCTCTTGGCAGCATTGATTGTGTTTGCAAACATTTGCAAGCAGCCTGATGCTCTCAGGAGGGGACGCCATAAAGAAATCATGATGGAGACCATTGCTGCGGAATACTATACAGCCACGAAAAATACAAGGCTGTACTTTATGTGCTTATGGGGGGTGCCTCGAGTATGTTGTTGGGTGGGAAAAAAGCAAGAGGCAGAATGATGCTGTGCTATCTGCCCACCTGGATACAACAGAGAAAGGAACCTTTGCATTTGCTTCTAGGTGTCTAAGAAGCCCCAGTGGTGCAGTGGGTTAAGCACCGGGCTGCTAGTCACAAAGTCAGTGGTTGAAAGCTACCAGCCAATTCCCAGGAGAAAGATGAGGCTGTCTGCTCCAGTCAAGATTCACAGTCTCTGAGCTATACTCCTTGGTCCTACAGGGTTACTATGCATCTCTATTGACTCACAGCAGGGGGTCTTAGACACCTGGGTCCTTCCCAACAGGGAACTAGGAGGCTGGGAACCGGGCTGGGAAGCTTTGGCTGGCTCCCCCGTTTGCATTTTGAGTCACTTGAATGCATCCCTTATTTAAAAGAGTAACAACATTGTTGGATAGACAGGCTAGCTCATAGGAGCAGGTGTTTTGGTTGATACGGAACTGGGACGACCAGGAGGCCTGGAGTCACCAGCTCAGTCACTCAATAGCTTGTGCGGACAAGCAAGTGGCAACTCCCCTGAGCCTCAGTTTCCTTATCTGTGAAGCAGGGGTTATGGCTTTTACCTGGCCGTTGGTATGAGCCAACCCAGGCCAGGGTCTGGGCGCATAGGAGGCAACTCTCATGTGATCCCTGCTTGCCTGTCAGTCTTGGGGGAAGAGAAGTCGGAACAGTATTAAACTCCATTAGTAGAGAAGTAAGTTCATCAGAGTCTTCAGCATATTCTATGCCATTGTGAATGGTCTGGCCATGGCTTTCCCTTGTTTTATTCTCCCTCTGCCCCCACCAATAACCAGTCCCCACTCCCACTCTCTTTCCCCAAGAGGCACCTTCTCTGGGGATGGCCACCTGGCCTTGTCCAGGTAGACCAGAGGTTAACGTGTGGGTGGGTGGCTGAGTGTTCCACAGGTCTGTTACCGAGATGCAATCTAGCTCCAGCTCTTACTTTTTGCCTCTAATACCCAATTTTCAGGACCTGTTCCTGCTGTTTCCTGAAGTTGCTTCTGACACTGTCTTTTACTTAGCCACATCCCTGAGGACAGGCCCCCAGCTGTCCCCAGCACTCACCCCAGAATATAGCCCTGCAGTGAAATCCTGACCCAGTGGGAGACACAGGAGCAGGGTCCCTGAGGCCCAGGATGCCAGTAACCATAGACCCTGCCAGCTGCCTCCAAGAATGGCTAGGCCAACGATGGGCATGGTTCCCACGTGGCTCCCCCTCACTGACTCAAAACCGAAGTCATGACATCCAGTGGATTCTGACGCCCAGCGGCCCTGTAGGACAGGGAGGAACTGCCCTGTGGGTTTCTGTGATTGTACTCTTTAGGGAAGTGGAAAGCCTCGTCTTTCTCCCGTGCAGCTGGTGATTTCTAAGTGCTGACCTTGGGGTCAGCCGCCCAACTCGTAAGCACTCGACTAATTGTTGTCATTCTGATGGGTGCCATGGGTCATCTTCTATTTGTAAGTCTTGCATCCATTGACATCTGCCCATCCCCACAGCCTTCCCAGGCAGAGACTGGATTGCTGGCCCTGTTGAGAAGGCAGAGGGGAGGGGATGAGACCTAGCAGAGATGGGAAGCCTGGTCATCTCTGCCCGCTCAGGGCTGGGCGAGGCCATTCCTCTGGGGACGGCTGGAGGCCCAAGGGGCTGGTGAAGAAGGAGACATGCTGGTGACATGGGCACACAGCGCCGAGAGCTGCCTTTCTGCACCCCTCCTCCCCCAGGTGGCTCGATCCCAGGGGAAAGGTATCTTCCTCTTCCGGAAGCTGAAGGACATCATGGACTGGAGGAAGGTGAGTGGGCAGGAAGGGCCCCACTCTCCCCCCTTGGGGCTCTGAGGACTGATGGAGAAGGTCTGCCTACCCAGGGAAACCAGCATCTCCGCAGCCAGACTGCCTTGGGCAAGGTCCTTCACCCCTCCATGAGCCAAGACATGGGAAGACAATGAGTTACAACACATCAACCCTGGGGTACTTACTAAGGGCTCCAGGTCCTTTCTCCAGCCCACCTGCGTGAGGAGTGTGAGGGGAGGGGGGAGGAATTGGGGGAGGGGCTGGAGAGTGGGGGTGGGGACTTTAGCTGTCTTCCTGGAGGTTCTAGACTGAGCCTCAGAGGCAGCTTTGTCCCTCCCTCCACCCCATCCTTAGCCCAGGACTCGGTGCCATAGAAATCCTGCCTCAAATCCTGCCTCGGCCACTCACTCAGCAGCTGGGTGACTTGGGGGAAATCGCTGGATCTCTCAGAGAGGGGAGGAGGAACAAGATGAACGAACTGCTCTTCCATCAGGCTCCAGAGAGATGCTCAATGAGCCCCCCTGCCCCTCCTGTGTCTCAATTCCTCAACACCACCAGGGTACTGCTGGGAAGAAATTTGTCAACCTGGAGGGCCAGCCTTCCCGAACCACCTTCAACCCCTCTGGCAGTCACGTGAGTGTGAGGGGTGGGGCAGGAAGGGCAGACCCTCGGGTGGTGGTTGCGGATGTCCTAAACTCCCCCCTGGAGACAGACACCCCACCCCCACCCCTCCACCTCACCCAGCATGCCAGGGCTGGCACTGTGTGCTCAGTCACCTGCCTGATGTGTGACTCTTGTCTTTGTGGCTCCGGTTTTCTCCCAGGGTTGCTGTGGGGGGTGAGGGGTGAAGTGGGGCTCTGCAGACTGTAAGGGGCTGTGCCTGTCTGTGAGAGCCAGACTCCATCTCCAGCGCCGGGCTGGGCTGGGCTGGAGAGAATTGGAAGGAAGAGGCTGTGTGGTTGGTTGTCCAGGGTGCGCTGGCCAGCAGAACCCTCTGCCGTAATGGAGACACCGTGCAGAGCTAGCTGTTGCTCTGACAGCGTGGAAATGGGTCTCCTACCACGAGGGGAGGCTCTGGATCTTTCCTTTCCCTTTCACCCGTTTAAATGTTCATCTCAGCAGCCACGTGTGACTGGGGGTTACCCTGTTGGACAGGGCAGGCCTAGAGGCCAAAGGGTTAGGCTCTGGGACCAGACTGAGTGGGCCACATCCCCACTGCACTTTGGACTGGCTGTGCTCCAGTTTCTGATCTGTGAGATGGCGATGACATTAGCAAGGACTCGATAGGGTTGACGGGGTCCACCAAGGTCCTCCTAGCAGAAGACCCAAATGTTTAGCATGCAGGACATGCTCCGCAAACACAATGATGATGATGGAGATCATTCCAACCAGGACACCAGAGGCTCCGATGACCAGAAGGAGGAGATTCCCGTGGAGAACTATGTAGCCCAGCGCTACATTGAAAATCCCTACCTGATCGGAGGTCAGAGAGCTCCCCTCCTGCCCTGCCCCTTCCGCCAAACTCCCAGCCAGTCAGTGACCCTGGCCAGCAGCCCACCGCTGCCCAGCCCGACAGCGGGCATGAGGGTGCAGAGGATTTGGCCCACTCTCCCCACCTATTAGCCTCTGCCCCCACAGTTCCCTCTGCCGGCGTCCCTTCCCTGGCCCAGTCCTTGCTCACTCACTTCCAGACCCTGCAGGACAGGGTCCAAGAGCCCCCTGTGACTTTCAGAGGCTGTCATTCCGTAGGGGAGTCGAAAGCCCTGCCCTTCTCCCAAGGATCGGCTGGCTGGTGGTTTTGAACACCCAGCTCCCACCGCTCTTTCATCTGTTTGGCCACCTCTTTTCACCCCTGCTCTGATCCCTGCCACTGTCCTCTCCCTCCTGACTGGCCCCTATCCCCACACTCCGCTGTTCTCCTTCTCTGCTTCTGCCATGGCCTGCCCTGTGACCTCTGATGCATATGCCTCCCGCCTAAAAGGTCCTGCTCACTCTTAGAGAGGGATCCTCCTCCTCTTCCTCCTCCTCCGTCCCCACCCTGCCTCCTCCTTCTTAGAGATGCCTTCCCCCAATACTGACCCTCTCCCTGCCCCTTCTCTGTGCCTGCCCACCGCCCCACCCCCCCAACTTAACTTTAAATTGTGAACTGAGGGGAGATTTTCAGTTTTCCATTCAGCGATTCATACACATTTTGTTTCGTGCCGGCAATGCCGCACAATGTATCCTTGTTTTTCCCACTTCATTCCTGGTTTTCTGTCCCCATTTCCCCTCCCCCCCATCGTACCCCTTGTATGGCCTCCCTTGAGACCCTGGAAGGCTGGGATCCGGCACTGTCCGGCCACTGCTGCAGCCCCACACCTAGCGCAGGCCTGGCTACAGGAGGCGTCCAGCACACACTGGTCCAGCTAATTCTGTCCTCGCCCGACAGGCCGCAAGTTTGACCTGCGCGTCTATGTGCTGGTGATCTCGGTGAGTTGCCCAGCAGGGCTCTACCCCAGCCAAGGGCAGGTGGGCAAGGGGCAGCGGGGTCTGGGGTACAGAGCGGAGCCTGTCTGAGCTTGCCTGACTTCATCTCACCTGAGGGGCATCTGGGAATAGGGTGGGGATGGCAGAGGTGTGCAAGTGTCATCCTGCCCCAAAGTCTGTATTTGTCCCACACCTGACCTCTCGATCCACCCAGACATCCTGGTAACCACATTCTATCTAGCATTCACCAGGTACCTACTAAGTACCAGTGTGCCCTGGGGCCGGGCAGTTTCTCTCTTCCAACCCTGCTGGCCTCATCAATTTGGTTCTATTATTATCCTCACTTGACAGATGAAAAGAAAAAAAAATGGGGCAAAGAAATTGAGGGATCTCGCCAAGGGTCACACAGCCCATGAGGGGCACAGCCAAGACTGGAACCGGCAGCCTGGTCCCGGAGCCTCCTCTCTTTTTAACGATGCTCCTTGCACGCCTGCCCCTATTCAGCAGACACGAAGGCCTGCCCTCTGTGCCGGGCACCAGGAGGAGGCCATCTGCTGGGGACACGGATACACAGGCACCCTGAGCTGGGTTGATTCCTTGCATTCTGAGGCTGGTGCTGGTTCCTGAGGGCTGGGGTGGGACAGGATGATGGCCACAGGACAGAAATTGAGGTGTGACGCGCATGCGTACTCTTCTTTTTTTCTGCCCACCCCCCCTTCACCCACTCCTGCGCAGTACATCCCGCTGCGGGCTTGGCTCTACCGCGATGGCTTCGCTCGCTTCTCCAACACCCGTTTCACGCTGAGCAGCATTGATGACCAGTGTATCCTGGCCTGTCCCCCGTGGGCACGTTCCTTCCACAACTGTTGTGCCAAGCTCTGCTCTGGCCACTGCCGATACCGCATGACCAAGACAGGCCTGGTTTCTTCCTTGGGGTTGGGGGCTTACAGTGAGTTGGGAGGGGGTGGTTCTTCTAGGGAACTCACCCCCACTCTTCCCTTGATCATCTTGGTGATGGTCCAGTGACTCACTGTTGTGCACGTGGGATCGGGCAGTGTCTGCCTCGTCAGGGCATGGTTGATCTATTACATGGATTTTTTCTGGACTATTTTAGTGGCCTGTTTGATAAGCATTGGGCTGCTAACCACCAGGTCAGTGGTTCAAACCCACCAGCTGCTCCTAGCAAGAAAGACAAGAAGATATGCTCTGGTAAAGACCTACAGCCTTGGAAACCCTGTGCCGGGTCACAAGGGGTTGGAGTCCACTCGATGACAGTGGATTTTTAAAAATTTATCCTCAGACTTAAGGAGCCTGGGTGGGGCAGTGAGCTAAGTACAAGGTTGGAGGTTCGAACCCACCAGCCTCCCTGAGGGAGAACGTTGAGGCAGCACGTGTCCATCGAGATGGACAGTCTCAGAAACCCGATGGGGCAGTTCTACTCAGTCCTATGGGGTCCTTGACTCAGGCTGGACTCTGGGGGAGCGGCTTTGGGTTTTTATCCTCAGACTGATTCATTCATTCATCGACGGCTTACCTCAGTCCACTCTTGCAGCCAGATTCCCTCAGCACCAGGGGCTGACGCCTTACAGCCGTGTCTGCTTCTCTGGGCAGACATCTCGGGGAGGGCACACGAGAAACTGGAAAAAGAGATGGATGCTGGTAGCAGAGCCTCGGGGCTAGGGACAGGAGTGGGGTGGCATTCGAGCGTCTTGAGGGGTCAAAATAGAATGGGGCGGGGGAGAATGAAGATTTTGAGGCTGGTCATCAGAAGAAAAGGACCAGAGAATCAAGAACAATTTAGGTGCCGAGGCAGCAGGCCTGGATACCGGCCTGTGGCCTTGAGAGGAATGGAGGGTGGCATTGCCGGGCAGGGCCCAGGCTCGGGCACTCCAGCCGATGTTATCAGCCAGTTCGCGGAGCCCGGCCTCAGTTTCTGGTTTAGTATCGGTCCGAAGCAGTGCATGTGCCTTGTCCGTGTGCTCCCTTGAGGTGGTGGTAGTAGCGAGCTCCCAGGAAGTGGGCCCCGGACTCGTGCACCAATAGATCCTGATGCTGGTTTCATTGGCTACTTTTGGGGAGTGCCAAGGTTGTCTTCCTCATCCATCTCAGTCTGAAAGAGCCATCCAGACTTGTCCAGCGTCATACCTTCACTTAAGCCTTCACTGACGACAGACTGACGGCTCGGATTGGAGGTGCATTCGCTGCGAATGGAACTGGCATTCCATTCCTCCCACCTTCAGAGAATTCTCCACGGAACCACTCTAGATTGGTTAGGCTCCTTTAAATTTTTGTATGTGTTGTGTTTACTTGTTATCACTTATTTAATTTGTTGTTGATGATGTTGCTGAGCGTCTACAGAGCAGAACTCAACGCCAATTCTACCGCATCTGCGTGGACAGTTCAGTGACATTAATTACATTCGTTTAGTAGTGCAGCCTGCCTCAGCCTCCTTTCCCAGCGGTTCCTCCCCCGTGAACATAAACACACTCCCCCCTAAGGTTCTTTTCTAATCTCTGGAGTTGCTGCTGCTAATTTGATCCCATAGAGATAGATCTTCTAGGAGCACAATGCTCAAGGCAGACATTCTTTACTCATTAAGCTAAACTCGTGTTTGGTTTTAAGAAGACTTCAGGGAATTTTTGCTTTCAGAGGGTAATTTTTGTTTAAGTTTAAAGATTAGCTCAAGAAAACCGTGTTAGGGGTTTCCAGACTCCATGGCTCCTGAAAGTGTGAAGTCTCCAGGAATTTGAAATCCTGCTCTGCGTTTCCCTCCTCCTACTGAGGGTTCATATGTAGACCCTCTGATGGAAATGTCCAGCAGTGGTAGTCGGGCACCATCCAGGTCTTCTGGTCCCAGGAAAAAGGAAGCAGTTGTCTATGGAGGCAATTAGGCACACGGCCCATGTCCTCCTTTTCTTCCTCGCTTGCTCCAGGTGAATAGAGCCCAACTCTCATGCCTCGGATGGCTGATTGCAAGCTTTGAAGACCCCAGGCAGTAGGCAAGGAACTGGGATGCAGAACCAGAACAGACCAAAAAACTCCCTGCCATCAAGTTGATGCCAACTCTTAGCAACCCTATAAGACATGGTAGAGCTGCCCTGTGAGTTTCTGATACAGTAACTCTTCATGGGGTAGAAGGCCCCGTCTTTCTCACTCCAAATGACTGGTGGCTTTCAAGCTACTGACCTGCAGTTAGTAGCCCTATGCATAGCCACGACACCACCAGGGGTCCTAGGATGTAGAACAGAAGCACTGTGTATATTGATACACGGTGTTAAGCTGCGTTTGACACTCATGTATAAGGAAGAAGCAGCCCAGCCTGGTTGAACTCAAGGCCACAGGCCAGAGACTAGCTGGACCCGTCTCCGAACTATGCAGCTGTCGGCAGTGAAGCAAGAAGGCAGAATGTGATGCCGAGAGGTATGGGCCGGTGGGTGTGGCCATGTGGATCCAAGATCCTTAAGAGCATGGCAGGGCACCCCAGCTCCCAGAGCCACCCCATGGGCCACCAACCTCTCAAACCCAAGTGCACAAGTCAGCAAGCAGGACAGCGAAGAGCCAGCGTGGGAGAGAAATTCTCTGTGTCTCTCTTATTAAAAAGGCCAAGGAGGTTTCATCAGACTGTGACCTGCTTGATAGGGTTGGACTCCATCCCTACCTCGGCACAGGTACGTAAAATCTGCCCATCACATAGGCCAGTTAACTAGAATGCCCCACGAAACGATGGCCCCAAATCCCCAGACCAAGGCACCAAGTCTGTGAAGTATTCTGTTGTTCGGAAGCAGCCGCTGAAGCGACCCCGTCTTTTTTGTCATGGCGGTTGCGGTTAAGTATCCCTATCATTCGACTTTGGCCGCCAACTTTTGACAGGCGTCCTGTGTCATCGACAGCAATTACACTAATCAGCTCGACCTTTCATCGGTGTGATTTTTCCATCACTGTAAAACAAACCGCAGTACTCCCTAAGCGCCACTTCCTTTCCCCTCCCTGCCACTCCTGGGAACCACTAACAAACTCGTCTCTTTAGATAGGTGAGGTCATCCCATGTCTGCCCTTCTATGATTGACTTTATTTCAGCAAAACATCCTCAAGCTCCATCCATGACCAGCAACTCCCAAAACTTCATTTCTCCTCCCGGCCGGATAGTGCTCCACAGTGTGCGCCCCACTTCTTGTTCACCCTCCATCTGGTGACGAGCACTCACGTGACTTCCACCTCTTGGCTCTTGGACTGTGCGGCAGTGTCTGCCAGAGTCTCTGCTTTCGAGTCTTTGGGGGCATATACCTAAGAATGGAGTCGTTAGGTTTTGTCTTGTAAGTGTTGTCTAAAAGAGTTTGAGTGGTGTATGATCTACAAATCATATACCGTATACACTCGAATATAAGCCAACCCGAATATCAGTCAAGGCACCCAACTTTACCACAAAAACGGCATTAAAAATGTGCTGGAAAACCTCGACTTATACTTGAGTATATACGGTAATTGACTAGTTCATTCATATTAAGAAGAATTGTACAATCATCACCACACTTGATCTTAGAATGCTTGCTCTGTTCTTGTACTCATTGTTATTAGCTCCCCATTTCCCTGCAACTTCCATAAGCAATACCTGCTAGCATCCTGCCCCTGGTACCGCCCCTCCATACTCCCAAGGAACCATTGATCCGGTTACTGTCTCTATCGATTTGCCTACCCTGGAATTTATATATAGAAAACCATTCAAGCAAACCAGCAACTAACAACACTAGCAAAGTAAAACAGACAACTTAATTGGGACGAAAGCAGCGAACACTGAAAACTAGAACACATTTAAAATGGGCGAAAGGGAGGTCCACTGATAGGGTGTTAAAATTCTAGTCTCACTGCATCTGCAAAAACCCACCATCTAATGCTTTCTGCGAGGGCAACAAGGTTATTCACCGTATCCTCTTCTAAGGATGTTTAGGGTCCTCCCCTCCCCCCGCCGAATTTACCATCCTCCGTATTTCCAGTGTGTTCATTTTGTAATTCTCACGTATTTGTTTTCTTACCCTCTTATTGTTCATCCAGAGTAGATGCAATATGGGAACACAGTGCAGTGGTTGGCCCAGAATAGTCTCTCAGTCAAGGTGAGTGGCCTTCCTCACCCCGTGTAAACATGTTTGCAAAGCTGGCAGCAGCAGCCGCAGCAGCAGGACTGTGTCAGGCTGAAAACAGGTAGACCCTGACTCGCTTCTCATCGTCGGGAGTTTGAGAAGTGCACTTCCTTTCACATGGTTTTCGGACGAGAAGCTGCTTTCTTACCAGCGATGGTGGGCCCGTGAACATTATTTTTGCACACCTCGCTTTTGTTTGGCCCTCTATCTTAGATGCTGCTCTGTGTCCACCTTACTGAGCTTCCCGGGCTGGGTGTTGGGCTGCTCATCTTACAAGGTCAGCTGTTCAAGCCCCAGTCACTCTTCAGGACAGAGCTGAGGCTGTCGGCTCCGGTAAAGATTTACAGTCTCTGAAACTCTAGAGGGTCAGTGTGAGTCGGAGTTGACTCGGTGACCGTGGGCTTGGTCTCTTTGTACAGCTGCAACCTCTCAGGTAGATACGCTCAAAACCAAATTCACAGCCGTTGAAGTCAATTCCACCAATTCCTAGCGACCTTGGAGGACAGGGTGGAAGTGCGCCTTTGGGGTTTCCAAGACTTTAAATTTTTACAGGAGGAGACAGCCTCCTCTTGCTCCCGAGGAGCATCTCGTGGGTTCGAACCGCTGACTCTGTGGTTAGCAGCATAGCCCAGTATGCCACCAGGGCTCCCTCCCCTTTCATTCATCTCACCATCCTTGAGAGATGGTTTGAGTCGTCCCTACCCTGGGACTTTGATAGTGTTGCAGAGAATACTGTTGTGTTGTGTGGGTCGGTCTTTGAAAAGCTGTGTGTAAACCACATATTAAGTTATGTAAAACAATGTGTCTTATTATTTTGTGATCCAAAGTTGCCTTATGAATTGAAAAGGCTAGTGTGTTGTCTTTGAAGTAAATATGGCAACATAGGAGTAGCTCGTAAATCTGGGTGGGGTATGAGCCCCTAATAAAATGATTAGGGAAAAAAAATCTGGGTGGGAAGGACATGGGTTTCTGTTAAATTCTTTTCTGCCTATTATGAATTTTCCCAGATGAAAAGCTTTAAAATAACAGAAAAGAATGTAACATTTTAAACCTTTAATGAAAGGAATGGAGAAGCAGGGGTAGGAAAGAATGTGCACTCATTCACTGTGAAAACAAGGAAGCCTCTCATTCAAGAGAAGCTCTCCGGGACCAGGAGGGCATTCATTACACAGTACTGTTCTTACAACTAACGTCTTTCCAGATAATACGGCAAAAAGTTCTCGAAACGTAACGGGCTTGAACAGAGTTTTCCCGTAGAACTTTCAAGCTGCTGTCTTCCCATTTTGAGTCCTTTCTACGGGAGGACCTGCTGTCTACGGAAAAAGCAGCTGGTCTTTGTCCCAACGAGCATCTGGTGGGTCCGCACTGCTGACCCTGTAGCTAGCAACGTAGTTCAGGACGGCCCTGGGCTCCTCCTTTTTACAATCCCTTCCAGCATCCTTTAGGGATGGTTTTAAGTTGTTCTGACTTGTTGACTTTTGTAGTGTTGCAGAGAATTGTTTGACGTCGTTGGTGGGGGTGGGGGGGTGTCACAGACAATATCTATGTATCTACTCTCCTTAGAAACCTGGGGCATTTTGCCCTGGGAATCTTAAAAACGGCTTCTGTTTTCTCCTTCACGTTTTCATATCTCTCTCCTTTGGGTCATTGTGTTTCTGTTCATTTATGTGAAGAAAACTCCACCATCACCTCTGCTACCCGTCTTCTCTGGGTGCTATTTGCCTTTTGTGTTCGTCTAGATGCTGGTTCTTGTTCTCTTCACAGCGTTGGCTCAGCCGATTGAGTTTGCTGATTTATTTTACTCTGCTCCTTGGCTGTTTGGCCCATCAAGACCAGGCTCCTGGTTCATCTGTGATGAGGGGAGACTGGGAGGTCTCCTAACCTGTCACCCCACCTCCGTGGTCAGCCCCGACTCACCCCTTCCTCCAGGCAGCAGCACCGTGTGAAGCAGTAGGCAAACCTGTGTGTTGTATTGATGCTTCACTGTATTTTGTTCGCACTCACTCAATAGTTGGGAGCCCTGGTGGCGTAGTGGTTACAAAGTGGGCTGCTAACTGCAAGGTCAGTAGTTCGAAACCACCAGCAGCCGTTCCCCAGGAGAAAGGCTCTACTCCCCCCAAAGAGTTAAAATCTCGGAAGCTCACGGAGGCAGTTCTACTCTGTCCTACAGGGTCATTCTACGTCGGAATCAACTCAGTGTCGGCGAGTTGATTGTTTTGGTTTGCTTTGGTATGTGTAGCATGTTTCAGGACCACATTCCTTTTCGTCTTCGTACTCCATTTTTATTATGAGGGGGTTTCAAAAAGGTCATGGAATAATTTCATTGTTTTTTCGTTCTATTTCTCCGTGACCTTTTTGAAGCCCCAAGGCGGCCGACTGGATGTTTGCCGTCATCCTTGCAGTAGTCTACTTCAGTCTGAACTAGACCAAGACCTACTTGCCATCACTTACGGGGGAAAAACACATCATGGCACCTTGTCTATGCTGCGTGGTTTCTTTCACTCCCTCGTAAGCACAGACCACACTTTATGCATGCTCTCCTCTGCCAGTGGACCCCAAGTCGCGTGACTCATACTGTGGGCATTCATACCGCCACCTGCTGTAGAGGGGTTGAGGCCACCCTGCCCTGTCCGATGAGCCACAGGCACTGAGAAACCATGTGAGGGAACTAGACTTGGCTCAGTGAGCCCTGGTGGAGTAGTGGGTTATGCATTGAGCTGCTAACCACAAAGTCAGCAGTTCAAACTCACCAGCCGCTCCCTAGGAGAAAGAGGAGGCTGTCTAGCCCCATGAGGATTTAGAGTCTCGGCAACCCAAAGGGGTGGTTCTACTCTGCCCTCTAGGGTTGCCGAGAGTCGGAATCTACTCTGAGTTTTGAGTGAGAGACGTGAATCAGTAACCTAAACCTCCTCCTCGTGTGAAATGGCCCAAAGACGTCCTGCAGGCAGTCCTGTTTGCACTGCCATTTCATGGGGCTTGGGCGGGGGGTGGGGTGGGGGGTGGGCATCCTGTTGGACGATGAAGGGGAAGAGAGTCTGAACAAGGATATTCTGACCTCCGCTCAATCTCAAAGGTCTCCCCTGGGAAGTGGGGCTCATCCAAAGGACAGGCGAGATGACGTCTGTGAGCATGATCCGTAAGCTAGGACCTGTTTTGGGGGTTACCAGGGGTGTTGGTGGTAATGGTGCCAGAGGGCAGACACTCAGGGCCGGGACTTCAGAGGCCATCTGGGCCCCACCCTGAGGCTGGACTCACTGCTCCCGTAGTCCCACAAAGAGGCCACCCCGCCGGAACCCCTCTAGTGTCGGGGAGCTCAGCCCATGCTTGCATAAACCCGCAGTCGATCACATTCTCTGCTTTGGAGACCGTTTTTCCTTCCCTGAGCTGAAAAACCAGGATATCCTATGTGGTACTATGTGAGGCACTTTCTACTCAGTCTCTGATCTGATCTTTCAAAGCACCCTGAAAGGTGGACAGACCACGCCCACTCGTGGTGCTGGTGCTGGTAGGTGTCCTCGAGTTCGACTCATAGTCACCCAACGTACTGCAGACGCAGACCACCGCCCCCCCTTCCTGCGCCATCTTCACACGGGTGGCTCCCCGTGCATCCATTGTGGCAGCCACCGTGTCAGTCCATCTCGCCAAGCAGCTTCCTCTTTTTGGCTGTCCCCCACCCGCACTTTAGTTGCTTGACGTCCTTCTCCAGGGACCGACTGGTCTCTCCACCAAGTAGCCCCATTTAATAGGGGGCGGAACAGGCTCAGAGAGTCGGGGAGTTTCTCAG